GTTTCTTTTTTTAGATCCAATTTATAATTTCCTAGAATTTAATTTCTTTTTTTCGATTTAAAATTTGTTTTAAGTCTGCCAATCATTAATATTGGTTTACTTTTTTCTGGAAGATTCTTATATTGTAGCAACAAATATAAATATTACTAGATTGTGACCTCTTTTTATCAAAATCAAATTATTTCAGATTATATAAAAGAAACTGCAAAAGAAAATAAATAAACAAATAAATTAACTAATTAATTATCATAATTAAAAAATTAAAAAATAAAATAAAAATATATTAAAGACATACATACAAATTATACTCATTAATAACAATTGAAAATGAGCCGCTTTGTTCGCATTTTTATAGTGACCTTCTTAGGACTCTTGACGATACGGATTCAATAAAACTTGAAGGATGTTCATGCGCAAGGCCTTCCCGAAGATCACAACTATTGATTCAATTAAGCTATAATCTTATTAGTATATACATATATCAATGCTTTGATACAATAGAATTTGACATTTCGATCCTTGCACTAACAGTTTCCTAGAAGACTCTTCTAGCTCTAGCAGTTTATAAACATTTGGTATAGTATTTAGTACAAAATGTGCATTAGTTATAGTTGTTAATTTGTTAGAATATTCAGGTAGTTTTTTTTTATCATAACTATAATACGATTGGTAAATTGGTTTATTACACATTAATATTATTTACCGTTTGTTTGTACCTCTAACTCGATTTTTAGTGGAATTCTAATTAAATTATTTGTAAAGAAATTTCTAAGCTGATTCGGTTTATTAGAGAAATTCAATTTCATTTAATACGTAAGTGAATTTAATCATTATCAAATTAGTAAAAATCAATAAAATATTTTATATAAGAAAATAAATAAGTTTTTTTAAAAATGGCCAAGTTGCAAGAATAACTATTTCTTTCTCAATGCATTTAAAAGCTTGTTTAAAAATTTCTTGATGGCAAATCTGTTAATCGATGTTGTAAAACCTTTATTGCAAGTTGCATGAAGAGGTTATGATTTCTGTGTTAAATTCTTCAATATGCATTAGGTACAACTATTGAAATTATTAAAGTTCGTTATTTTGTCAAAAAAAAGAAAG